AGATTTCTGTGTAAACCGTGAATCACCCGTGACTGGATCATCCAGTGATCAAAACAATGCATCTCCGGCGGCCGCTTCTTCATTTTTTTTTTTTGTGGGTGTACTGTTATTGTCGTTGCTTTTCCTGATTTTTGCGCATTGACGTCAACTGCTTTTGTGTTTTTAGCTGGGGCGGCACATTTGGCGCAGAACATCTGATCGCAGCCTTTAACAGGCAAACATATCATCCAAGCCAACCAACCAATAAATATGTATTTATTTACAATTGACAGCCACTTGCAGGAGCAGCTTTGTTTGCATAGCTGCGTATTCGAAACAAATGAAAACGAGTTGTTTCAACTGTTGCAGACCTGAAGAGGAAGCGCATGTCTTTAAGCAGCACTTGTTCGTGTACCGCAGTATCTCAGTATCTGTTACTGTTTTGGCGATTGCGCATATTCACAATTTAACGAGGTTTGCCTATAGAGTACGAGTTTTATTAGCAATTCGCCTATGAGCGTGAAATATAGGTGAAACGCTTTTGTGACTCATTTTGGTATTTTGTACTCTTGTATTCAAAGCTTGGATATGAGTTTAATGCCTAAGTGTAAAATTAATATAGAATTCGGGTTTTCTTCCAAATTCGCCTATGAGCGTGAAATATAGGTGAAACGATTTTGTGACTCATTTTGGTAATTTGTATTCGTAAATTATGATATTTTGTACTCATATATTCAAAGCTCGTATGTAAATTTAACGGTTAAAATTGAAATTCACGCCCATGATAGGAAAATGTGTGAAGCATTTATATCATGATTCTTAGATATGGGATATAAGACTATTATATCATATACCTCTATAGAAATAATTGGTCGAGAAATAAGTTTTGATATAGCAACTTTTATTTTTTAACATCACCAAGGTATATTAATAGTTACCTTTACCAGAGAATATAATATATTTCGCCTGAACCAGCAACTGGTTCGAATCACAGGAAATTACAAGGAACATAGGGTTACCGGCTCGCACAAACAACTTAATAAAATAAATAAAAACTAAGCATATGTTTTTTTGCAAATTGTTTTACATAGCTGCCAGGGTTGCAACATTTGCATGCAGTTACCTCTCAAGCTACCTGTGCATGCACATACATACATATGTAGATAGTATATGAGCATATATTTATATTTCAGCCAGGTAACTCAAATATGTATCACAAATACACAACAAATACGAACGCAGCTCGACACTTAATAACTTTTTAAAAGGTTTGCAAAATATTGTTTAAATATTATTTGGTTCGACTTGTTATATACATGTATGTATGTATATATGTAGATGTATATGCATATATATCTACATATATGTTTGTTCGTGCATTGTTTTGTCTGTGGCTTATTGGTACACATTAATATCGCTCACGTCTGTCGTCTGACGCAATCTTTTTGAACGCTGCTGCGGAGAGGTGTTTTTCAAGTAATTGCCGCGCGACCTTCTCAGATGACAATGGTCTTCCCCTTCGACTGAATATAGAAATCTGGGCCCAACAACAATGCGAAACTGCGCCGCATCCAAAGTTGAATGCCAGTCAAAAAGTGTGCCGTTGGAATATCGCAGAAAGAGAGGATCACGATGACAACGATGATGTTCTAGCCTTTCCAAATAAACATCAATTGTTTATAATATAAAATGCAAGTCTGTGCATGTCTGTCTGTCTGAGTGTGTGTGTGTGTTTGCGAGAGCGCCGTTCTGTTTATAGTTGGCCGTTGACGTCGCTGCCGCTGCCGCTGAGTTGCATTATTTTTGGCGAGGGTCACTTTTGAGCTGATCTCTGGCTGCTCCGGTTTTTCGTAGACCCCAGCGAAATTTGAGCTGCGGCTGACGCGACGCGCGACTCGTGTAGACTGCGAAAGTGCAACAAATAAAAAATAAATTTAAAAAACCAAAATACACAAATTCCCATTAACATGCCAATATATTGTAGTTGCTTTTTAGCACTTGCGCTGGCAATTTCCATTCGCCCAACCAGGGGCGAGGTCTGCCCTGCTCTATATTGTCGCTTAGGACTTTGGTATGGGCTGCCGATACAGGTGTATTAGATTTCATGCTAGATTCAGAGCCACGCGTCGATAAGATCATGTGGGTGTTTTTTTCTTTTAATGTACATACTATATTTAAGATAAGCATTGAGCATGGGATAATCAGTTCCAGTTAAGTCATAAAGCGCAGGTCGCGATTATTTATGTTACCTGTTGTTGGCCGAATTGCCCATCTCTCTGCCTGTCTGCCCGTCCCTGCAACCTGCACCCTGCTGTACTCTACCTGTCGCTGGCCATATATTATTTGTTATTCAAATGAAACGCTGTCATTGCTGACGCTTGTTGCCGCGCGGTGTTTTTTGTTTTTGCCTGTATTTTCTTGTCCAAATCATCTACGTCAACAACCCCTCGAGTTTACATTTAGTCAATGTACTAGACTTGTTCCACACGGCGTATACGTATTGCTGAGTATCAGTATGTGCGTGCGCGTGCGTGTGTGTGTGCGTTTGGGGTTTCAATATTTTTGTAGTTGTTTTTGTTGCCTTGCGGTTTGACCGTTAAACGAACGCGCGCGCGCGCGCTCTCAATTATTATCGCGCTCTCTCATTCGCTGTCACACTGGCTGCTCACAGTTTATGCTCTTGCGAAGAAGCAAAAGAAACAACAGTTGTTTTGTTTTGTTGCTCTTATCATCGGCCTCTGTTGCCAACTACATAAATACACACTTATAGCGTCAATTTGGCCAGCATCTGCTGACTTGGTTTCTGTTTTATTTATTTTTTTTTTCTTTGGCATTAACTTTGATTTACCCTATGCCACGCCGTTCTGCGTTTCGCAGTTTTTATGTCTGTGTTTTGCGAGTGTGTTAGTGTATTGGTGCGCATTTTCAAATTTTAAGCTGACAAGTTCGTTAGCTTTGCTTTGTCATGCCCACACACATAACACACACACGCACATGCAGCTGTGAGCGCTCGCTCGCTCGTTTGCTCTCTCGCACACTCAGCAACAGCGCCTGCAATATCACTGCGCTCACTCACAGCTTGCTGCCACTGTTGCTCACACACTCTCTCGCTCGCACACGTCCGCTGAATTTGCTATAAAAGCGAGTGGCAATCAGCGACTTCATTTGAGTAGTTTTTGTGTTGTCGTGCACGCCACTTGGTCTTTAGGCTTTTGTTAAACTACAGCAAGTTTAAATAAAAACAAATTCAAAATACAAAGCCCAACTATAAAAGTGTGCTGCAGCTTCTGTCACAATATTTATTAACATTTATCAAAACATATTTTGTGCGAATTTCGTGTGTTTAACTGTTGCGAAGCGCGCGTGTGAAAAGTTAAACAAAAAACAAAAAAAAACTTTTGATTGCAATTATTTAAAAGCAATTGTTCAAGCAATTTCATTATTGTTGTCGCCAACTATATAACAATACAACTGGAAAAAATCACAGCCAATTCCAAATTTGGATTATTAATAGCGCATAATAAATATTTTGCGCCGTTAGCAATCAGATATTCTGTAAAACAGCTAACAGCTAACAACAACAGCAACCACAACAAATTGTAAGTACATATGTACATATTTCCGTGCCCAAAATAAACTGAACAGCACACACACAAACACACATACAGAGGCAACAAAACTAACATTCTACGCTACGTGATGTGTGTGTGTTTGTGCCCTTCTATAAATAAATCACATCAAATTTAATTAAATGCAACTAGTTGTGAGTTGCAGGCTGCCGCATTGCATGCCAAGTCTATATATAGAAACAATCATATACATACATATGAATGTATGCATACATATACATATCTGTCTCTACACGAGTGCGAGCGTGTGCAAAAAAAAAGTTAGAGTTTACAGTTGCAGTTGCGTTGCCCGCCATTTGCTTCAAAAACTTCATTGCCGATGCACAACACACTTATAAATGCACTCAATTAACATAACATTAACATAACATTTACATTTGCATGCGGCGAACTTGTTGCAGTCTTTGTTTTACACTTGAGCTTTAAATTTAGCACGTACCGTTAATTTGATAACATTTTTAAATGCGCAACTCTGGCTCATATGATCCACTAAATATAGCAACAATAAAAAACAAAAATAAAAAAACGGAAATTATATTATTTTCGGCAGGCAACGGACGCAGTCATGTGTTGTCCGCTGGGTGTCAAAAATACAAATTTTGCAATGCTGCCAAAATCAGAAAGATTGGCACACAACACCGCGCTCCCACCCACCCCCACCCCCACTCAAAACAAACCGTGAAATCCCCGCCAAACGGCAGACACGACGCTCGTGCCGACATTAAGCTATAAATACACCAATACTTATACATATATCTATCGGCGATATATATACACAGCTTCCATGACAATTTAGTTGGAAATGTAAAACTGAATTTTAATTGCCTCTGCAATACCCAAATTAATGGTAACAGGGTATAACAATAATTTGTTATGACGCATCCCAATACACAAGCTGTGTTAAGTTGTGTGTGGCCTTTCCGTTGGCGCTTTCAACCGGATTTTTGTGGCTGTTTTTTTTTTTCGCGCGCGTTTTCTTAATTATATATTGCAGAATGTCGTTTATTGACCAGTACTTAAAGTATATTGACCATTAAGCTGGAAAATTGTTGAAAGCAAGTGTCTTGGTACAGTTGTGCTTGGCTTTTGTCAATGCAAACAATGTTTTTTTTTTTGACATTTAAGTGTTTTATAATACCCACACACACTCACACACACACACAAATCATAATGAACTTCACAACACTCGCAGCAGCTGCACAGCTAGCTTGTTTACCTTCGTGCGTTTGTTTACCTGTATTTTGATTTTGATTTTGATTTTTTTTTAATTTGACTTACTCGTTTTGCCCCTGACATATGGTATATATGTATTTGCGGGGAAACCCGGCCCCTTCGGACTGTGATTTAGTTTTGGTATTAATGCTTTTCCTTATTTCTGGTTTTTCATTGCAGTTCCAACAGCAACAGCAGCAGCAGCAGCAGCAACTATGTCGAGTGCCAGCGTACACGCTCCCCAAATTGCCGACATTTGCAGTCCACTGGCGTAAGTAAAAGTTGAGATACATGTGCATTATATATGGCCAATAAATACGCAGTTACAGCTATACAGATAGATTAGCTAATAGATACGCGCAGCAGCCGGATACACAGATACAGATACAGACACATGCGATACATATGTATCAGCATATCTATCTATGGCCAGATTGCTCATACGCCTTGTGATTCACAGCTGTATTTAGCTGGAAGCGCCGTTTCCGTTTTTATTGAGTGACAATCGCCAAACCCCTTGCCCCATAGTCCCCCCATAAGCCCCTCCTCATAATGATACATTCGCTGCATGTGCGAAATTTTAGTTAGTGGGCTTTGTAAACAAAGTCAGGGCCAGTTATGGAGAATTGGCAGTTGACAGTGACTGTAACAGTGACTGTCACAGCGATTGTCAAATGCCTAATGCCTTCGCTTATGCATGGGCCCCCATTCATAAGTTTTGCAATCTAATCGCGAACAAGGTGCAGAGTACAACTAACAAATCAACTTGGCCCCGACTTTGGCTGCCATTAACTAAATGCCGCATACTGCATTATATTGTTGTAGTCTGATACCAGGCTAAGAGGCATTATCATAGGCGCTCAGCCCTCGCTCTCTCTATCGCTCTCTCTCTCTCTCTTTTTATCTCCTGCTCTCTTGCGGCGACGCGGCGACGCTCACATGATCGGGCGAAAGCTGCCGCGTCTGTCGTTGTCGTTGTTGTTGTCGTTGGTACAGTCCCGATTCGCCGCCGTCGTCGTCTCGCCGTCACGCTGCTCATTATCATAATCACGCCAGCGACAGAGCACGCCATTCCCCAATGTCCGCCCACCCGGCAAGGTCATGGCCTGCCTTTCGCTGCGACTGCAGGTGCGCCTCGGGGTTGATATGGGGCCCAAAGGGCGCACAAACTTGTTGAATATAAGCCCAGGCTAGTTAGATTAAATTATATCAGAATGTGCCTAGAGTTGATCTCTCTTATTTGGTAAAAGTTTAATATATTTGATTTATTATATATTTAATTAATTTTAAATATGCACAATAGGCCACAGTTTGTAGTTTCTTGGGGAAACAAACGCATAAAATCTATAGAGTTGAGCTGTTTTATCTTATCTGCTAGCAAAGTAAGAGATTACCTTGTCCCAAATTGTAGTCAGGTGCAGTTCCGAGCTGCTTTTAAGCTGTTAGCATTTATGGTGCTCATCAATCTAGTTAAATGAATCTTAGACTGCGACTAAATTGATCAAAGTCTTAAGTCTGAATGAATGCATTGTGCTAATGTGCCCTCTCTCTCTTTTTCCTTGCAGTCACCACAGCTTGGGTCTGTCCGCCTCGTTGCCCGATTTGGTTGGCAGCCCGTTGGAGATCAACATGGACAATGTGCTGACCATTGAGGAGTTGCGCCAGCATCTGGGCTCCTGCTTTACGTGCGGCGTCTCCTGGACCGATGATCATGTCTCGCTCGATTGCAGCGAATGCGGCGGCTACAGCCTGGAGCGTCCCTGTCCCCTCTGCGATGGCCAGTGCGGTGTGCAATGGAAACGTGACTTTGCCATGGTGAGTGTTGCCTGCAACAAGCGCTTAACATAGAGTGCAACAAAAGCTAATCCTCCCATCCTCTCTTCTCTCCCTTGCAGTCGCATGCATGCAGCAAAGCGCGCTGGGTCGGCGTCTGCCTCAGTTTCCCGGAGGCGATGGCCGCTGCGGTGCAGCAGCTGCCCGTTGCCAGCAATACGGCCACGACGGCCACATCCTGTGCCGCTGCCGCTGCCGCAGCGCATCAGCTGCGTCTGGCGCAGGAGCTGTGCTCGCGCCTGGAACAGCTGTCGACGGCATCGTCGACGGCGCCAAACAAAATGACGCGTCTCTGAAGCGATCGCCGGGCCGGCGTACTATAGTACAGTGTTCCTTTTAACAAACGTGTTGGCGCCAACTAGACACAAGCACATGCATCATCAGCCACCTGCCACATGCCACATGCCACATGGCACTCACACCCAACACACAGCCAACAAAACAAACAAAGTCCACCACATTTATTATTTTATTGCTGCATTGGAGAGAGTCGCAGAGGAGGAACGAGCGCGTGGACGCCACTGGAGAATCTCTTGCTCTCTTTCTCTCTCACACACACTTCATATTTAAATTTAGTGCCTAATTAACTAAGCTTTTTTTATTAGTTCTTAGTGTTTTTTTTTTCTTTTTGTTTTTGATTTTTATTATTATTCTTCTTCTACTGAAAACAGTTTTTGTTGTTGTGCACGCGTTCGAGATTTTGTAGCTTGTGTTGAATTAGCGTTAAGCAGTTAATTAATTATTTGAGTTTACACTGTTATTACGGCCACACACACACACACATACATCTTGAACAAGAAGAAGAGACTACATTTAGCTTGAACTTAAGTCCAGTTTAAGCGCCGCGCTGCGCAGTGATAACGGTGATATTAGCCAGAGAGAGAGAGAAAACAAAAGCTAAACGCAAAATGTTCATTAACAAATAGTGAATTTAATAATTGTAGCTAAAAAAACAAAAAACCGAAAAAAAAAGAAAGAAAGAAAGTCCAACGATCTAAATACCTAATTGTTAACATTTTAGTTGTTGTTGTTGCCTTTGCTTAGTGTCAAAACAAAAAACACAATTTGCCAAATCAAAAAGAAAAAGTTAAAAAAAATTTGTTAAACAACTCGTTGGAATTATTGCTAAAATTCAAAATCAAAAACAAAGAATCTTCCGTAGAACGTCTAATGCTCAACACAGAAAAGCAAACGCACAAGAAAAAGAAAACACACACAAAGAAAAACCAAGCTAAAAAGTGAAGAAAAAAGAAAAATGAAAAAGAAAAGAAAAACAATTGGGAAAGTAAGCATTACTCAAAAGAAAGTTGAAGATTTTCTGTGAAAATCCATATGACATATACTATATACTAGAAGTTTATACCTTATATATACACATATACATATACACACATATATATATATATATATATACTACTACTATAGCTGCATAAAGTATACACATACACATATATATATATACTATATATTTTTAATGTAGAGATATGTTTTGTAAAAAGACAAAAGCATATTTTTAAAATTAAAATATATTCAAAATATGTAAAAAATTAAAAAAAAATGTAATCTAATATTATTTTATGGAGGCCCGTTCGCCCTACACTCTATATATATATATATGGTATATATAGTCGTCAAGTAGGGCTTACCACATGCCTGGCCTTATCAACACACATCAGATAGTGTTGTCCAGAGGGCTTTCAGTTTTTATTGCGCGAAATGGGCACAAATTTCATCATCGCGACTTTTCTGAACCCAACAAATGGACTTTATATATACATACGTGAGTATATAAATTTTTTAGTGGTATTTTGTTTAATGCTCGTTAATCTTCAAACTGTCCTTAATTCAGCTTTGCCGCTTTAACGGTACACACACACACACACACACACACACACACACGAGCACATATAGTTTATTGCATTGTGCCACATTCACTTCCTTGTCGCTGGCTGCAGGTTTGCCCACACACATGCACACAGATACACACACATGCACACAGTGAGCGCTGTTAGTTTACAGCACTGTGCAGCATTTTTCCATTATATCATCTATATTTATATATGTGTATATATTGGTAATGCTGTGTGGGCACCTAATTTACCGGAAAATGCCAAAGTGTGCAAAAACAAATTTACGGAATAATTATATTTCGCTTAATGGAAAATAATTAGTGGCAATTGATAGGCCAGCAAAAATATTAAAAAACAAACAACTGCTTTTACAAAATGAGGTAAGTAGAAAGAGAAAAAATGAAAAATATATATATAATTAGCCAGGAATTCTTTATATAAGCCCAGGCTAAGCCATTAAGCAAAATATATTTATTTCATCTGCCCCAAAAATTAATAACAATTGAGCAAAGTGAAATAATAAAAAAATAGGTAAATGCACTTGAACATTTATATATATATATTATAAAGGTTTTATTGAGTAATGTTAAAAAATGATAGCAGAAGTTTCAAATATATATATGTATATATGTATATATATAGTAAGAATATATGTACTTAAGCCTAAGGCTAACCCATTAAGCAAGACTTTATTTATGTTATGCTCCCCCTAAATCAATTATAGTTCATTTTTTAAGCAAACTTTCTAGAGGGAGTGGGAAAATTAGACCTATGTCTATATAGGATATTTGAGGGTACAATTTTCACATGAATTTTGACCAAAAATAATGTTGTCAGATTTAGATGCCAAATTGATGCCAAACCATGAACAAATAGCCAAACCTTATGAAAATTGGTTGAGTTTTGAGTGAGTTTTGGGGGTGGGAAATTTTGACCTTTGTATAACCTACATCGTATACCTATACACATTAGGTAGCTTTCAGGCATAAATTTAATGTATATATGTATAGATATATTAGTTCATCTATATGTATATCTATCTATCTATCTATATATGTATATTAAGATTCATACCAGTGCTATAATAACTTTAATTTGTAAACTTAATAGTGCTTATATTATGGTGATTACTTTTGCTATAATTATTCTGATTCTAATTATAATAATTGTCGCATTGTTTCCTGGGAAATGAGAAATATATTGGAATTAACATTTAGCCTTAGGGCAAATTTTATTCAATTATTTTCGGGTTTTCACCAATTTTGCATATGAAATTTTGGAAAACCCAATTTTATAGCAAAAAAAAGTCCCCAGTCTAAAAAGATCTATATAATGGGAATATTTAATAATAATCCATAATAATTTATACTGCGTATGCAAAATTGGAAATTAAAAGAAAAAATTGGGGTTTTCACATATTTAAAATACTTTTACGAATTTCTAATTATAGCATTTATTTATGTATAATATATATTATTATATTTGTTATTATTTCTATTATTGAAATTATTAACTGTTATTATTATTAAGGTATTTTTATTGATTTAATCGATTTACGATCCGTTCTTTGTTGTCTGTAAGGCTACGTAATTTATTTGCCGGCAATTTTATGGCAATGCTTTGTTCGTAGAGCCCCATTCAGTAAACCGCTGGCCCATTCATTATTATCAGTTCTAAAATATTTTTATTCGGAATTTCCTGTACACGAGTGTAGAGATAAGTTAACGCTAAGCTAAACTAAATTTATTGCATGGATTTATTTTGAAAAGTACCGCTAAAAAGAACGAAAATTGTCAATGTGGAAAAAGGGTATCAGGTAGTCTCATACGCGGCATGACTTTCGCTTACCTGCTTAAAACTAATTCGCTTGAGATGACCGAAGGCAGCAGCAGAGACTGCGACTGCGGCTGCGGCAGCTGCGACGTCGCTGGTGTTTGTACCAGGCGGACATGGCCAGGTTGACATCGCCTGCATGGCGGGGGGGAGGGTGGTAGGCATGAGGAGTAGAAGGCTTTTGTAATGGTTCAGTAGACACTGGAATTTTACTCACAGCTGTGAGGCAGGTGCAGGTCCAGGTGCGGGTCCGGTTCGTCGTCGGCGGCCGCGGGACTGGGCAGATGCGATTCCAGCTGGGCGAGCAGCTCGCTCAACTCCTGCGCATCCTTGCTGATGCTGCACAGCTCCTCCTGCTGGAAGTCCGGATTGATTTGCTTGCACAGCAATATCTGGCTAATCACATTGCCCAGATTCGAGGGTGCGCTGCGAGCGGGCGCTAAATGGGCGAGGATCAGATTTGTTTATCGGACCAACTATAGCAACTCACCATAGTAGTCGGTCATGTCGTAGGGCACCAGCTGTATGAGCCGATGGCTCTTGATGAGCTCGTGCCGGAACTGCTGCGTCAGCTGGTAGAGCAGCGATAGCTGCAAGCGGCACTCACTGGAGCTGGCCGCCTGGCTAAGCCTGGACTGCGGCGTGATCAGATGCGCCGTCAGCTTGCAGGCGTCCACGCAGCTGCGTCGCAGCCGGCGGATCTTTTCGCGCAGCTCGGGCGAATCGCGCGCTTGGCCAATAAAGATGAGCAGCTCACGGAATTGAGCCACATGGCAGTTGATTTCCATGATGAGCTGCCGAAACGGAAATGAAGTCAGGTAATTATGCAGCTGGCAAAGCAGAAAAGGTTGCACCTTTTGTGGATCCCGCGTGGGCAACAGCAGCTGCGGCAAATAGATGGACAAACGATGCGCGATTATTGTCGAATTCCGTATGGCCAGAGCCGTGCTGCTGGTCACGCCCGCGCCCATCGCTGGCAGCTTCTCGTCATAGTCCCAGCCTCCAACGTGGGCCATGCTTTGATGCCGACTGTGGCTGCTTCTGTTGTGGCATTTGTGCACCGCTCAAAAGTATGCTATAAAAAGTACAAGAGCAGGTTGTCTCTGTGTGTGTGTGTGTGTATGGGTGTGTGTATTTATGCCGCTGTCTTGTGCAAGCAAATTGCGGCCTGTCTCATTACCTTGTGTCAACAAGTCACGGCTGCTAAACAACAGCAAAACAAGAAGCAATTAAGAAATGCTCGACTGTTGAGATACTCTGTAATTAGCAGAGAGGCAGCCTCAGTGGGCCTGCCATGGAGAGCTTCTGAGCAAGATTATCTGGAATCCTCAGACAAAAGAAAGAAAATATAAGTTTACATAAATTTAGCTGATTTTGATAACAGCTAAATAGCATTCGATATAAATTTAAAATTCTGAAAGATAATAACTTAAAACTAAACTTTGTTGCTTTAGCTTGAATGTCACAAACAGCGGCACACAGCCAATATACCCTTTAGTCCATTTGAGACAAGAACACGAAAATAAAATACAAATTGCAGCATTGCTGCAGTTGCCAAATTGTGTTGCATGTTGCAGGCATAATAACCATCTAATGAAACCATAATCACAACTGTTAGATAAATAGGAAGAAGCAGAGCAGAGATGTGCAGACAATTTCCATGAAAAAGAAGCAGAAGCTGTGGATTATGGCGACCAGGAAGGACATGTGACAGTCGTTGAGCTGAGTAGATGAGATTTAAAAATATGTTGAGTTGTTTAAGGATAAAGTAAAGGAGAAAAAGATGAGCTAAAAAAAGTGTTGAGTTGTTTAAGAATAAAGTAAAAGGGAGGAATGAAAAATGTATGTGATTTAAGAGAAAATTGTCTTTACATAAGTATTATATATATATGTGTGTGTGTATGTATGTGTGTGAGTGTGCGTGTGGTCGTGTGTGTGTTAGTGTATGTATGTATGTACATATATACATATGAATGCATGTATGTTTGTTTTCTAAAACCAAACGCAGACCAAGCTTACTTGTCTCTGTACTGCAAATTTAAATAAAACGAATTTCTGCCAAGTGCTCTCCTCCTCGATTCTCAAAAATTTAAGTAGGCCCTGCTGAAATTCGACAAGCAGGGAACGTTGGCTCCAACGGCCGATGGTGGAGCAACTTGAGGCGGTGGAGCAGGAAGAGGAGGAGCGGGTAAGTAGAAATGTATGTACATAGATGTAGATGCATGTATGTATGTATGTATGTATGTATGTATGTATGTATGTATGTACATATGTATGTACATATGTATGTACATATGTATGTATGTATGTATGTATGTATGTATGTATGTATGTATGTATGTATGTATGTATGTATGTATGTATGTATGTATGTATGTATGTATGTATGTATGTATGTATGTATGTATGTATGTATGTATGTATGTATGTATGTATGTATGTATGTATGTATGTATGTATGTATGTATGTATGTATGTATATATGTATGTATGTATGTATGTATGTATGTATGTATGTATGTATGTATGTATGTATGTATGTACATATGTATGTATGTATGTATGTATGTATGTATGTATGTATGTATGTATGTATGTATGTATGTATGTATGTATGTATGTATGTATGTATGTATGTATGTATGTATGTATGTATGTATGTATGTATGTATGTATGTATGTATGTATGTATGAATGTGTGTATGTGTGTATGTATGTATGTGATGTAAAAAAAAAAGATCCATACAATATCGACAATATTCATAGATTATTTATAATACCCAACATAGACTTATCAAAAATCATATTCCCACATTGAAGAAAGCACACAGAGCTCAATAATTGACAAAACCTCGATTTAATTTCTAGCTGTTAGCCGGCTACGAAAATGATATGCGATACGAGTTTATTCATCATCATCTTCGCCTAGAAACGATGTGGTACTATTGGTAGGACTGGGATAATCAATATACAGGTCCACGCTGTCGATGTCAATCATGTCCAGCTCGTCGTAGATGGTCTCATCCGTAATTTCCTTTGTGGGATCCTGCAAAGAAAGCAAGAAAGGTAAGAGCTCTCGTAGGCTTTAAGTACATCCAGCATTTACAACTCGGGCATATTTCCAACACGTGAGGGCATTTATATTGTTGCCCATTTGTAGATTGATCAACGCCAGGTAGCCCCAAATATCTGGCACATGTGAACCAAATGTGGTGCATTGGACAAAGCATTCCATCGCCTTGCTGTACTCGTCCAGCTTGTAGTAGGCCTTGCCCATGAGATAGTTGCTGACCAGGGAGAGCAATTTGCCGACACTGGGATGATGCAGTGCATCAATTGTCAGCTGATATTTGCCCGCCTCAAAGGCCAAATAGGCCAGTCGAAATTTGCTAAGCAAAAAATTATCCCGGCCTGGTGTAGCTTCTCTGTACTGCTGCAAATTGCGCGTATAATATTCGGCGGCACTCTCCATATTGCCGCGATAATACTCCACATTGCCATTTAGCTGAGCATTAAAGCCGACCTACATGAAGTTCGAGGTGGGAGTGTCGATTAGAGCTCTGCAACGAGGCAAGTGAAACGCGTTTCAAATGCTCGAATAATTATAATACTCGAGACTAATACTCAAGACTAAAAATGCTGTTCGAGTTGAAAACAAGTGTTACAATCGAACATGTTCAATCGAACATGCTGCTGCCTCATGCAGTTCGAACTTCGCTTGTCTTTCGGTTGTGTGAATAGTTTATTCAAATGTGATGGAAAGCTCGAGTCCATCGGTTTTCTGCTGAATCGCTTGAGTAACCGAGTTCGATACAAGTGAATTAAACGATGTAGAGCTCGAACAGACGTCTGTCTATGGTTGGACGAAAACTCACCAGCAGTTCCTCCGCACCGCTGCCCTCAAAGCTGAACGTCGTCACCTTAAAGTCCGGATCCAGTTGATTGAGCAATATCTTTAACTGTGTGCCTATCATATAGCTCTCGGCAAGGCTGCACTCGTGCTGCACATCTTCGAATATCACCTGACCGAACTCGTACAGGCCCAAGCGCACAAACATCTTGAAGGATTCGTAGAAAACGTAGCCACGCTGATGCTCAAATGTGGGATACACGTTCAGCGATATGCCCCACAGGCTGTACGGCGCCGAGGAGCTGGTAACACGCGGCTGCTTCAGGTGATCCTCGAAGCGCCAGCGTGCATACGAATGCCCGGGCGCATAATTGAACCGCTTATAATAGCAATAGAGCAGTATCCAGCCATCCAATTGACGATCATTGTCTTGCGCATATTTCGTTATGCTATTCAAGAGGCACTCGTTCGCATTGTCTGATACCAGCGGATCGGGATCTTCCCGTGTGCCCACATAGTCCAGGTAAATGCGTATCCAGCCGCTGTGAAGCCATACATTTTAATTGATAAAGCGTCTAGTTGGAGTTGATCGACTAGCAGATACCCTGTACCCAGCGCCAAGCGTCTGCTACGTTTCAAATGAGAAGTGACACATAGAGAAGAGACAGATAGGTGAGGAGACAGACGGGTAGACAAATGGACAGAGAGGGGGACAAAGAGGCGGACAGACAGACAACTGGACGGACGTGCTAGTTTGGCTCAGTTGGGAGATGCCTTTGTCTAGTACTTTAACAAAATACCCATTTTGTTTGGGTACAGGGTATCTGACTGTCCATCACTTACGCAAAGTAATCGTGCACCACAGATAAAAGTTTTTGTGTCTTAAAGAAGGTTTTGGCTGCCGCGTATTGTCCGCGTTCCATATTTGAGATTAGGTCATAGAACTCAAAGAGACTGGCAAAGGTGTTCGTTCTTTCCTGCAGAGGAAATGAAGCTAAAATAAGTTTTACTCTGTAATAAACTTTAAAAAAAAAATATTTAAGAAAATAGTACATTTTCTAGATACATTTTGTTATTACTGAGTGGGTTTTGGTACTGAAAGAAATTCAAATAAAATAAGCTGAAGAAGGTGACACTTTTATGCTGAAGCTTAAATACCCTCACAGCTATATATATCTGATTTCTGTTTAAATACAATAAACTATTCTTAACAAGAGACCAGCTCAGTTTAAGCTAAATAAAACTTGTAAATATAGAGTTTGCTTAGAACTTCTCGGAAAGAAAATGAGTTGTGCATATAAGAACTTAATTTTTGAATAAGTTTTCCTTTAGGATCTCTATATACTCCAATATTAATAGGAATACAAAAAAACTTAAAACTATTTAAAAAGAAACAGTTATATTTAAAAACAATTTTCTATAGAATCTGTAGGATATAGCTCCAATATTAATAGAATTGATTTTGCTATTAGGATCTTAATTCTTAATTAATACGATTTTAATATAAGGGGCATAGTTTGCTAAAGATGAAATTTAGAACAAAATGCTTAGAAAATTTTCAACAGAAACAGAGCTAATTTTAAAATAATTTTTTCTATAGGATCTATATGATATAGCTCCAATATTAATAGAATTAATTTTCATATAAGGATTTTAATTTGGTCCAGATAAAATTGAACACAGAAAAAGTTGTTTGAAAAAAGTTTTGCTTTTAAAGCTTACTTTCTAAGATAGCTATATGATATAGAGTTTTAATCTGGCCGACTTGGATATAAGCAATTAATTTCTAGTTTGCGTAAAAATGGAAAGAAAGTCAGATCTGTTTGATCATGCTAACAAACCTATTAGATAGATATCGTGTAAGCTAAAGGATAGTTTGTAAATTGTTTGGGATAACTATAAATGGTCTCAAAATGTTGGTTCGTGTATAAAGTGTGAATATGATTTATGATGCTTAACTGCACGAGATACGAATAGCTTATCTTTAAAGTGCCCAATCATCCAGCCAATCACCTTTTCGTAAAAATTATTGGCCATACGTTTGTCGCCGACGGCGTTCATGATTTTGATGGCGTTCATGTGATCGATGAGATTGTCGTTTCGCTCCTGTTTGTCGAGCACAAGCTCATCTAGGCCCTCCACCTCGATCTTCTCGAGCAGATTGTGTACCCGTTGCTCCAGCTCGTTATAGGCAACGGCGCACAAATTCTATAGGATTGAGTTAAACTGTATATATAATGGGAATTTTTAGGTATTTGAGGATGGACTAACTGCAAACTCAATGCTGGTGCTCGTGCGTACGCGCATATTGAAGTCACAGCCGACGACCTTGAGCAATATGTTGGTCAGATTCTGCAGGGCACAGCAGAAATGATTCCGCTTGTCCTCGATGCTATGCACATTCTTGTCGACTATATAGCGTATCGTGTCCCGCATGAATACATCCAGACGCGTATAGGCGTCCCGCTGAATTTTACTGAGCGGCAACGGCGCCGGGCTCTGCAGCGCGCTTTTGCAGTAGAGCAAACGATTCTGACTAATGAAGGATTCGCGAAACACCTTCAGCTCCTCGTACACCTGATCCAGCGGTGCCAGCAGGCATATTTTTATTATGGCAAATGTCGGCGATTCGGCATCTTGTTGAGTACTTGGCCGACTCGTATCACGGAGATTGGACGCTGTGCTCGGCAGCTTGATGTAAGGCATCTTCTTCTTGGCGCCCATATAATTCAGCTCCACAGCGAAGCGAATCGTTTGCACTGCAAGGAAACAGGTTTATATTAATAGAAACGCAGTTAAACGACCATCAGATACCCTAGACAAAGTTTAACTACAAAAACGCACTTCTCTTTCTCTGTTTTTTTTTTAAACTTTTGCTTACAAAATGTAGAATTTAAATTTTCCGGGCTTAAATGTGGTATTTAACTGAGTGCATATACCAAAAATATACCGATGAAGATATCAAAAAATCAATCGATATTCATCGATAGATAAGAGTACCTACTCTGATACAGACGAATATGGTTCCTAGCACAGATTAAGAATTTGATCTTTGCAGTTTATTTTAAATATCAGAATATGGATTAAGAATTGGATTGGTACCTACCGCCGGGAAAGCAGAATATGGCCGGATCTAGTATACCCGAGAAAATAATCATATTGCCCGTTGTTTTGACCATTTTTTTGCCAACTTTTTTCTCAGTTGTGCCCACATTCCAGACATCGACAGCAATAACATATCGCCGCCAGGCGATCGTGCTGTACAATAAATCCGACATGCTCTTTGTGAGTATAAATCGATGGAAGGTGTTGCAGACCAAGGCCGTGTCGAGGGTCGGATCGATCAGACCAAAATCGATGTCCATATAGTCCGAGCGCAGTAGATGCTCGAAGAGCTTATGCATATGCACCTCCATGCTGGACTTGAGGCCCGTGCAGGCGCTATCCGGCACGCTGTTCCGAAAGTATTCGAATACATGATGATTATCCTGGTTCTCAATGATCGATTCGGTGAACTTATTGAAGCTGCACCAGGGTATCACATGGTATTCGTTGCGATCGACGGGCAGCAGCGACCGAAAGCTGAGCTGCACATTTAGGGTATCCAGATCGAGCGTATACTCTTCCTTCAGATTGTAAATGGACTCGAATGTGACGAACGCAATGTTGGTGAAGGTCAACTCCTTGGCAATGGGCACCAGCGTGTACAGATGCCATTCGGTGTTGATGGTGCGGCGCAGTTCAATGGGACAATCGGGCACCGGATAGAGATAGAGCTCCTCGCGCAGCATGCAGCGATGATGACCGAATAGCTTGATTATATCGAGATAGCCCACACTGAGCAGCACCAGCTCGCCTTTGGTTTCGTGAAAACTGAGTTCGGCATCGATATCTGTATTTTGCTCAATTTGATCAATTAGCGTGGACAGCAAGTCGGACGCTTCTGTCTCCAATTCCATCTCCTCCGTCTCAAAATAGGACGGCTCTTCGCTCTTGCGCATATATAGCTTTATCAGCAAGGGATTATCGGCTGCATGATTGATCCGATCGAGATTATCCTGTTGGAATACCAACGTGTATGTGGGCTTCTGCTTGAACTCATCCTGTACTATAATCCCTTCGGTATTGTAATGCTCCACACACTTGATAATTAGGCTGCCGCCTTGATCCAAGTGTATTTCCAGTGGATCAGTTACGTTGGGCGGTATTCCGATATGGGCCAGCTGTATGTATAGAAATATATTTGGCGGCAGCGGCTCTTTGTCTTTGCCCATCTTTTGCGGCATTTTTGTGAATTCTAACAAATACGTATATATAATTATTTTAATACTTAACGTTAAAATCAATGATTGGCAAATTCAAAAATTCGAATTTCCCATTTGCGCAAGTTGGCAGGCTGGCCAAAGAAAACAAACTATCGATTAGATCATTTGAGCAGCTGTTAGTGCAGCCCTCGCAGGCACAAATGCACTATCGATACTATCGCTTGAACAGCTGTTAACGCAGCCCTGTCTGGCCCCAACACGTGAAACGCGCAATGGACAACAAAATATTATGCAAGCAGGGGACATTTTTGTGTGAAAATTAAATAAATTTCGTAATCAAACGTTGCAATTGCATAGTCAAAATGTATCGTTTGTTGGGCGGCAATCGTGCCACAGCCATGCAACGGATGCTGCGGCTGCCAACGCCTGCCTCAACAAACAGTAGCTGCTGCAGCTGCGGCAACGTCGGCGCCGCTGCGCACAATTTAACACAATATCAGCAATATTATCAGATGCTCTATCGCGCAGCGCCGGCAAGTAAGTAAATGAGTTTGCTGACTAAAAAGTGCAGCAAATTAATAATTATTCTTCTGACAGCAACAACTGCCGCACGCACACAGTCCACCACGCCCACACAGACAGACGCCCTGGCGGTGGCCAAGAAGAAACGTTTGCGCAAACCGCGCTACGCCAAATATGTGGAGCTCCTGGAGGGTATGCAACATAAAAAACTTAGCAAATTCACATTATGTATAACTAATTAACACAACAGTTACCGAACTGACTGCCAGCGAGCGCAAATCACGCGTGAAACGCTTGAAATCAAAGAAATTGGCGGAATTCATACAGAAAACGCAAATGCAAATCTTGGAGAAGCGCGCGCGGGATGAGCGACGCGCTGTGAAGAAGGGTAAGCCGAGCAGCGAGGAGGCCGCACAGCGACAGCCGGCTGAGTATCAAAAAATCGATTTTGATGCACTCGATAGCTCCATACTGGAGGCGGGCATGTACGATGACAAGCCGCTGATATTCTTTGGCAAAGAGACATACACCAAACAGTTTATTGCCAATCCGGCGGAGGTGCATAAGATACTGAAAAGCTTTCACAATTATCGTGACATCATTGAGGGCATGGAGAATGAGCGACAGGATCATGCCGAGACGCATTTGTCGAGCTTTAGGTACGTAGCTGCCTCCAGTTGTAGAAAGCATTTATTTACTTTAATTCATTTCAGTGTAAATGCACCTAAGCACGCAGCTGATCCCTTTGAAACAATTGAGCCATATATCGATGTACAGGAGTCGCATAAGGCGACCATGCCTGCCATCAGCCGGCCCCAGTCTAATGCCGTGACAGCCAAGTCCAAGAAACGGTTTGTTTTACATTGCACGTCCAATCTGCAAGCGCATTTAATTACCTACTTCTTTTTCTCCATTAGCTTCAAGTCCAAGGTGCATGTAACTGAGGAGCAGGAGCGTCAGGCCAAGCATCGTGCGCTGATCATCAATTTAACCACATATCTGAATGTGTGCGTCTCGGCCAATATGCTGAGCCGTGCGCTCTCCACGATCTTCGCCTATCGCAGTCGCGCCAGGAAGAGCAATGCGCAGCAGCAGAAACAAGCCAGCAGCATCATCACCATCGATTTGTACAACATTCTGTTGCATGGCTATGCGGGCAAGGGTTCCTTTGATCGCTGCCAGGAGCTATTCAAGTTGATCCATGAGGATGGCCTCGAGTTCAACGAACAAACATATGCGGCCGTATTCGAGTGCCTGGGTCGCGTGGAACCAGATGCACAGAATCAGCAATTAATTGAGCAGTACATAGCCCAGGCGGAACAGCAGGGTTATATATTAGATCAAATCATGGATCGAGCTAAATTTATATCGGATCAGCGCGACATAGCACTGGATGCCATTCGGCGTGTGCGCGCGAACTTTACGCCGGTTTATGTGCCGCCCCAGCTGGGCTACGATAACGAGCTGCTCAATGAGCTCAACGCAAAGGTGCTGCCCGTGGGCGCGGAGACAACGGCTGCAGCTCCGGAGGAGGATTGTGTTATGATGAGGTCGAAGCGTGGCTTTAGCAAAGCACAGCTGGAACAGATGGCACGCGAGCAGCTGCAAGTGGAGTTGGATGGCTGCATTACCATCAAATCCATTGAGAATTCCAAGGAGTTTGCCAATGCCGAGTATTGCGTAAGTCCCTGCCCTTAGTTTGAGTAGAAAACATTTATAATGCTTCCTTCTTTCGCAGCGTGGAAAACTGAAAGAGCTGGAACAAAACTGGCGCAAACAAATCTCCGCCGCGATTGTGCGCGATCTGAATACGTTGCGGGCTCAGGTGAGATTCAAGCCGCACGGCTATATGAACTACTACACGTACCTGAAGGTGCTCGACACGAATCACTTTGCGGACATACTCATCAAGGAGTTGTACAAGCTAGCCGAGGGCTCGGAAACCTTTAGTCCCACCGTGGGTCAGCTGTACAGGGAGTTGGGCCAAAGGGTGCAGCAATGCTATCAAATCGAGCTGAAGAAACACAATGGCACGCTGGAGAAGATCGGCGATATCTACAGCGATTATTGTGATCTGTGGGCCAGTGGACACAACGAGGACAATACGCGCCAAATGTGGCAGCGACTAGTGCACGCCCAGCGACACAGTGGACCCTCCATGGATATGCCCGAGGTGCCGTGGCCCACCAATGTGCTCGCCGGCGTGGGTCGTTTCCTATACAACATACTGATGCGCGACATTAAGATCGATGCGCACATCATGCGCCAGAAGAGCAAGACAACGAAGACAACGGCGACGACAACGGCACCGAATCTGCTGCCCGCCTTCTATACGCTGTTCCGCAATCAGGGCCGGCTGGTCAAGGAGGAGGTTAAGCCGCATCCGGTGCTGTCGCGTCTGTTGCGCGCCTCCCGCCAGCAGACGCTCACCTTTGACTCGAATCTGGTGCCCATGCTGTGCCCGCCCCAGCCCTGGAGTACACCCCAAAACGGCGGCTATTTGCTGAACAAATCGGAGCTCATCCGACTGCCGCATCAGGCTGTGCAGCAATGGGAGCGCATACGTGCAGCCAATCCGCAGCATCTCTATCCGGCGCTCGATTCACTCAATCAGCTGGCCAGCGTGCCGTGGCGCGTCAATACCCAGCTGCTGGATGTGATCATTGAGGTCTTCCAGAAGGGCGGCGATGCCAAATTGGATGTCCCACAGCCGCCCAGCTCCTTGCCGCCGCTGCCTACGTTGCCGACGGGCGAGAAGGCTGGCAGCGGCGTCTCGCCAGCGGAACGTGCCAAACAGTTTCGGGATAAGCTCGGCCATCGACGCAGACAGGCCGAAATGTACAGCTTGTGGTGTGATGCTCTCTATCGCCTGTCGCTGGCGCAGCACGTAAGTAGACATAGATAAATGTAAGCAAAACCAGGTTCCAGGCAGTGATGGAAAACTTGGAAAATTTGCAGCCAAAGTTTGTGTGCCAAAAGATAAAATTAAGTCCTTTTGCCTTTTAACTTGATTTCAAGGGTGGAAGGGGTGAAAGGGTGGTTTGTTCGACAAATGCTTTATAATACCTTGCATGATCCGAAATAATCGCAATATTATTTTCAAAATTGGCACAAAATAGCCCAATCCTTTCTTTATAAAGGTGGTTTGGTTCTGTTTTAGTTTCAAGTGTGTCTGCTTTAGTTTTGATTGCGTGTGTGCTTTAGTTTAAGGTTCGCTGCATGTTAAAAAGAAAGATGATAGAGAAAAGAGGGATGCAGCAATGCTATCAAATCGAGCAGAAGAAACACAGTAGCACGCTGGACAAGATCGGCGATATAAACAGCAATTATTGTGATCTGTGGGCCAGTGGACACACCGAGGACAAGAGCTTCTGTTTTAGTTTCGCGTGTTTGTTTGGGTGTGTGCTTTAGTTTAAGGTTCGCTGCATGGTTGAAAGAAGATATGGAATTCCGGACTTAAGCCCTTTCTAATCGCATCTTATATAACAGTACCGCGACAAGGTCTTCTGGCTGCCGCATAACATGGACTTTCGTGGACGCGTTTATCCCGTGCCGCCGCATCTGAATCATTTGGGCTCGGATCTGGCGCGTTCGATGCTTATTTTCGATCAGGCACAACCGCTGGGCGTGGATGGTTTTAGCTGGCTAAAGCTGCACTGCATCAATTTGACGGGCACAAAGAAGCGGGATTCAGTGCGCGAGCGTCTACTCTACGCCGAGGAGATAATGCCGGAGATCTTGGATTCGGCGGATAATCCGCTCACGGGTCGCATGTGGTGGGCCAAATCGGATGAACCGTGGCAGACGCTCGCCTGCTGCATGGAGATAGCCAAGGTGCAGCGTTCTCCCGATCCTGCTGCCTATCTGAGTCGCTTTCCCATCCACCAGGATGGCTCCTGCAATGGGCTGCAGCATTATGCGGCGCTGGGTCGTGATGAGGCTGGCGCCTGCAGCGTTAACCTGGCGCCCTCGGCCATACCGCAGGATGTGTACAGCGCTGTGGCGGCCCTGGTGGAGCGCTCACGCAAAACGGATGCACAGAACGGACTGCATGTGGCCCAGGCGCTGGAGGGTTTCGTGCGGCGCAAGGTGATCAAACAGACGGTGATGACCACCGTTTACGGCGTCACACGGTACGGTGCACGGCTGCAGATAGCGCGTCAGCTGAAGGATATCGATGACTTTCCCAAGGACTGGGTGTGGCCGGCCTCCACATATTTGACCACCAAAACGTTTGAGAGCCTGCGCGAAATGTTCACCTCGACGCGCGAGATTCAAGACTGGTTCACGGAATGTGCGCGTCTCATAGCGGGCGTTTGCAGTCAGAATGTGGAGTGGGTGACACCGTTGGGTCTGCCCGTGGTGCAGCCGTACAATCGGCAGGAGCTGAAGCCTGTGGCGCGCCATGGCCTGCGCGTGTTGCCCAATATGCCCATGGATATGTACGAGCGACCGAACATTCTGAAGCAAAAGAACGCCTTTCCGCCCAACTTCATACACTCGCTGGACTCGTCGCACATGATGCTCACCTCGCTGCACTGCGAACGGCAGGGCATCACCTTTGTCTCCGTGCACGACTGCTTCTGGACGCATGCGTGCACGGTGCCGGAGCTTAATCGCGCCTGTCGCGAACAGTTTGTCGCCCTGCACTCGCAGCCGATACTCGAGCAGCTGTCGGAGTTTATGCGGCACACCTACAGCTTTCGGGACAAGTGAGTAGGATGCAGTGACTCCCCCAATTAGCTTCCATTCAACCACATTTTCTCTTGCCTTGCAGCGACTTTACCAACGATGGCTCCGTGGAGGATCTGTCCAAGCGTCAGTTGAATCGCACTTTGCGCCAGCTGCCACAAAAAGGTGACTTTGATCTGCGCAACGTTCTCGACTCGGTCTATTTCTTCAGCTAATTCGATTAACTTTAAAAAAAATGGTGCCTAACTGAAGTACTTTAGTCATTTCTTTAAAACTTTGTTAAATTCGTTGAACAATTCGATGCTTTTAAAACCAAAAATGAAAATCCTTAAAAAACAAAACTAGAAGAAAGATCGGCAGCAAATGTGATTTTGTAAGAGTTTACACATAAAACACTTAATATTATATTTATTAATATTATACTATATTAAATGCCTATTTAAATAGTTACGAATATTGGCATTTCACATTTGAAATAGTATTCATAGAACCGAAACATTATTTATGAAATGCCACCCAAAATGAAACTAAAAATTGGCTGCTTTGTAAATTTTACAAAAGTTTTTAATTTTGTTAAAGTACCCCTAGCTTATAATATTTGCGATTTTTAGAAACTGTTAGTTTCTTATGTCGAATATTTTATTCAAAAACAGGATCTATAAATTTTACAACAATTTCTTTGACTAAGATTAATAGTTCTACGACTGATCCGTAATATCCAATATCCATTTTCATAAGAAAAACTAACTGATGCTTAAAATCGCAATGTTTATAAAATATCAAAAATTTGCCAGTCAACATAATGGGTATATGAGGCTTAAAAGTTGAATAACGCGGTGCAGCTTATCAATAAATTGTTATACAAAAATTATACAACAAAATGTGATTCTTATGTCAAAAAATTGTTTTGCTCCTGCAGAAATTATAAACCATTTTTGATTTTATTATATCGTGCATTTTAACGAAGGATATTTTGTCTTCGACACACTAAATTTAGCTCTATTTTCAACCCTTTTGGGGCTTAGTTTACAAATAATGAGCATTCTTCAAACCTAAAAACGATCAACTTTGATTTGAAATAGTATTAAGAACTATGTAAAAATCATCTCAAATGTATTTGGGTCCTTTACAAAACCCTAAACTGCTTTTAACTCAAAGTAATAACAACTGAAACTTAAAAGCAAAGTTTAATGCTGAATGCATTTCGCTCTCTTAACAGTTCTGCATTAACATTTTCTGTTAAGAATTGCAACTTTCACTCAAAACGAAAGACTCTCACTCAATGTTTAAGCACCACCCCATATTCAGTTTTATCTCTTGCAGGCACGTTTAACATTTCTGTTAAAAATTGCACCTTTCACTCAAATTGAACGACTCTCACTTAACAGTTGAGCACCACCCCATGTCCACTTTTCCTATTTGCATGGGGCTGCTGCGCTGCTGCTGCCGTTGTTGTTTTTGTTGTCGCTGCGTTCGCTGCTGCCGGCGACAGTCGCTGTGTCGGCATTTTCTTCTTCGTTGTTCGCTCGTGTGCGAGTCGCTCGCTGCTCTGCTTTGGCTCTGCCCGCTTGCTCGCGGTCGGTGGTCTCAGTTTGAAAAGTTCATGCGGCGCGTTAAGAACGTAACGGTTTCCACGAAGCGGTCAGTGAATAGCGTTAATTCGCAATTTTAAGAAGTGTTAACATTCGGCAAACGCATCTTTAATTGTTTGTAATTTTTGCATTTTTGCGTCTCTGCTTTATTTGGTAATTTCTTTAATTTTAACTGTGCTTTGTGCGACGGCGAATTGCGGCAATTGCTGCTGTTGCTGCGTGGACGCGACATAAAGAAGGTAACAAAAATAAAATAAATACAAAAAAAAAAAAAACAGCTGCTAAACTTTTTATCGCGTATCTCGCACAGACACGTTGCCCGGCCTCAGCTGCTGCTGCGGCGGCACTGGCAAAATGCAGTGCAAATAAATTTTTAGCGATTCGAAATTCGAAAATAAAAGCACAACATGTAAAATGCAAAATAAGAACAAAAAAAAAACGACAAAATCTCAATTGTTTATTTTGCTTTATTTTGTTTACGCTGCATTTTGTTGCGGCTGTTTTTTTGTATCTTTGTGTGTGTCTTAATTGTGCACAATTTGCGCAAAATGCATAACGAAAAAGAAGAAGAAGAAGAAGAAAATAACAACACGTACTCTTATCAGCGACTCAGCCTACTATCAAAAGCTCGTATCATACGGCGCGTATCATATTACAGTTAATTGAATTATAAAACATGCGCCATGCAAATTGCGCTGCAGCAGCCCGCAGTAGCCACAACAGAAGTTGCTAAATGTCTCCCAAGTGGGTGGACGTCTGTGTGTGTGTGAGATAAAAACCACATGCACCTCAGTTACAATGTGTGCGTGTGTGTGTGGCTTGGTAATTGGGGCAATGTTTGTGGCCGTTTATCTGCAACGAGCCGTGCAGCAGACGTCGACGTCGTCGTCGTCTCGTCTCTCTGCCTGATAAGTGGCCACAATTTAATGCATTGACATTTGATTGAATGCTCAAATTGTTTTATTGACGCTCTTTGGCAAACTGATTCAATTACCATGACGCACAGCCAGCCCGGCGTATACGTAATGCGTGTGCTTGTGGATTTTGGTAAAAGTTCTCGCCGTCGTCGTTAAAGTTTACTCCAAAGACCTTAACTCCGGTTACAATCAGTTTTCCTCGGTTTTGTTGGGTTTGTTTTTTTTTTCTGCTGTTAATTACTGTTTATTTATTTACTTTGTTTTATTTATAATTTCTCTATTAAAACGTTCGCGTTTGCTTTATACTAGTTTATTGCTTCGCTGGGCTTGAGGCGAATGAAACAAAGTAAACATCTCGTAAAGTTTATTATCCGTTTATTGTGCTACCCTTCACTATTTGACTGGCTACTGAAAAATGGGCTACTCCATAGATAAAAGCGCCTTGAGAGACAGAAAGCTTAAAAGGATTACCTTATCTGTATAGTGTAATAATGCACTGAAGAAAAATTCAATTCCAATTTGTATATAAATAACGAATTTATTTGTAGCTCCATTTGGGTAATCTATTCATAAAGCTTCAAGAACAAAGCTTGTAGCTAAGTTATGCCTGTTAGAATATATATCCAATAACTTAAGCTAGGCCAAATTAACTGTTCTGCAAAACGAATACCTATCTCTCGTAAAACGAGTCCATGTCATTTAAAATCATTTAAGATCGAATCTATTTACGCATAAATTTTGATGCATTGTTGACCAATTTTTTATTGACAATATCACGTTTCGAATCCCAATTCCGATTTATACGAATCTAAGTGTGAATTATTCAATTCATTAATATTTCAATTTATTTAAAACTTTGAAAAATACTATAAGCAACAAAAATGTAAAAAGAAATTTTATAAAAAGGAGAAAGAAAGGATTCTTTGGCACGCCGAAGATTTAATAACCTTTTAGACATTTGCCCTACGGGCTTGCAGATATGTGAGACAAGAGTATGATGAAAATATTTTGAGCCCCAGGTTATCTTGCTACACAAAAGGCAATTTTTGACCGATTCTTCCTATAGTTATGGTAGTGGGATATTGTAAAGATTTTGCTCATATGTAAGCAACGAAGTTTCACAATTAAATTCCGGGTTTTGTCAACATATCTTGACAAACAAAAAAGTTGTTGATACAAGAACCTATTTTGCGTCCGATCGTTCCTATGGCAACTATATGATATAGTGGTCCGATCCGTCCCGTTTCGACATGCATACTGCCTGCCAGAAAGAGGGGTACGGACAGACATGACTATATCAACGCTTCTGTTGATGCTGATCTAGAATATATGTATATACTTAATGGGGTCAGAAATGTCTCTTTCTTTGTGTTACACATTTCATGACAAAATTATAATACGCTCTATAGAGGGGTATAAATAGCATATATAGTATTTATAATGTAAATTTATATTCTGGTATCGAGATTTCAATTTGTAACGATTTTTGAGATATTTTGTACCTGTCTTAAAAATTACGTGAAATAGAAATAGCTAAACTAAGGCAAATTCTGTTGAATTATAGACAGATTTTTTTTAATGTAAATAGCTAAAGCTAAAATTAAATATAAATATTAAATATAAATGAAGCTTAAGAATTTATTGCCACTGCCAAAAATAACAAACTCATTTTAAAAATCTTTAAAACAAAATGCAGAATATATTATTTTCTGCACTTAATATCGAGTTGATAGAATTCAGATTTTTTTTCATATATTTTTTTCCATTTTCTAAATATGCTGATTACAAATTAAGCATTAAAGCTGTAGAACAGAATTTTGGAGATTACGGAGAAATTCCCCGTTGACAAGAACAAAAGAAAACAAGTAAGAGGTTCTAATCGGGAGCTCCCGACTAGAGGATACCCTGAACCCTCTTCTTCCGACAGGCGATAGGTATAAAATGAAAGATACTTGATATATATATTTACTATTCTAGAAGCTACATTTCAAGTTTGGTGACTCTAGCTCATATTATTTGCCAAAATTGCTCAAAAAACAGGTTTTCAATATCGATTTTTATCGATTACTTGGAAACGGGGCAAGTTATCGACTATCGGAAACAAACTCGATCTGCGCGGGGACTAGGAGGACCTACAGCTTCAAGTCTCTAGCTTTTATAGGTTCTGAGATCCTTGCAGACAGACGGACATGGCTAGATCGACTCGGCTATTGATGCTGATCAAGAATATATATACTTTATGGGGTCTGAGATGCTTCCTTCTGCCTGTTACATACATTTGCACAAATACATTATACCCTCTTTACCCATTTTCAATGGGTTCAGGGTATAAAAAACTCCCCAAATATGCTGAAGAATGTCAGACATTTGACACATATTTCGATAAGTCCTTATCGTTATGAGGATTAATGCTCGAATTGCCTGACGAACTTTCGGGTCGGTTCATCAGTCTCAGGCTCCAACAGAATTTTCGATTTGATACGCTGAGAAATTGCATTGATTTGGACTTTGCTTAAACGGCGTTATTTATACTTAATTTTCATTATTTTCTGGTGTGTTGTCCGGCGTAATTTATGAATGCGAATTAATGAGCCTTTGGCATGCCGAAAAGCATTTTGCCCGGCGGCCTACGGCATACGGACTGGCCTGACCTGAACTTGGCCCTGAAGTTGGGACGACAGAGCCGGGCGTCAGTTTGTTTGGCTAAATGCGACGCGATGCCCGTTGTTGGGTCGCCTGTCGTCCATTTTGGTCGCCATTAT